TGAGCACCTGACGGTCGACCTTCCCCTCGAGAGCAGTGCCCTTTGTGGCCATCTCCCACGCATCAAACGTTAAGTGGAAATACTGGAGGGTGGCAGGGCACAACTTCTCAAGGAAGTCGGGGGAGTTGCAGAACGCCCCGACGACCTCTTTTCGGTAGGCGTCGAGGAAGATGGAGCCTATTGGCGACTTCAGGAAAGACTTACGTCCTTCCTCCTTCCCAAGCTCCCTCTCGGCCACATTTTCCTCGATGGCCTTGGCAAGATCAGCACGCAGCCGGTCTACTTTAGAGAGGGCGGCAACCTTCTCAGACTTGAGCTTCGCGATGAGGGCATTGGCCGCCGCAAGGTCGTCATTCTTTTGCTCGAGCTCATGGAGCTGTTCCGCGCACTTCTTCTTATAAGCATGGACATTGGAGTTAGGCGAGCTAGACTCCTCAAGAAGAGCGGGCATCACATACGCCATGAACTGAAAAGAAAGTCCAGGAAAATCAGTATAAGACGAAAGCGAGAATAAGAAAAAGGATCAACTAAGAAAAAATTCGAGGATAATTACCAGAGAGAAACACAGAAGGGCACAGCCAGCACGGTCATAGGGGTCGCGGTCGGCACGGGCTTTATCGGCAGCAGGGATAACCTAGTCAAGGTATTTGGCAATTTTATGGGGGTGAGGGTTGTCCCAAAGACAAGAGGGTCGTTCGAGTGTGACCGTCTCGAGGCCACCAGGAGAGTGGGGGGTCTCCACTGATTTCCCTTTGTCTCGACTCTTCTGGCTTTTAGAGGAGTCGGGTACCAACACAAAATCGGCCTCATCCTGGGCCCCTTTCTGAGATTTCGACCCCGAAGCTTTTGGCGGCATGGTAGCAGAGGGAATAGTCACTTTTGATTTTTTAGCGGCAACCTTCTTGACTGCCGCCCTTTTCGATCCAGAGCCGGAGCCGTCATCGGCCCCAGCAGGGTGAGAAGGCTGTTTGGTAGATTTCTCGCTGCCCTTCGCTTTCATGGTTTCAAAGCGCTGCAAAGCTTTAACTGAAAGACGAGAAAATAAGTAAGTAAGAAACACCCCTAACGATTACAAGAGCGATGTAACTTACAAATAAAATAAGATAAAGCACAGAAGCAGACAAACGCGTGGGCTTACGAGGATCATCGATGCGAGGGGCGTCCTCGTCAATCCACAAACCCACATGATGAAGAAGACCGCGATCTTTAACCAACGAGAGGGCACTCCATTTAGATTTATTTAAGTTGGCTAGCATATCCTGAAACTGGCTCGACTTAGTACGAGGAGTGGTTTGGTTGACCTTCGAGGTAAGCCAGATATTGGAAAAGGGATATTGGCCAGGAGCAGGACGAATATAGAAGAATTTAGTTTTCCACTCGGTAACATTGGAGGAGAGATCCTCGAGGAAAGAAACACTAGGACGACGACCCAAACAGTGGGCGTCCTTTATGAAGCGATAGTTATAACAATACAGGAGGAACTCGGGCAAAAAATGACCTAACTTTATTCTACAGATTATGATAAAGGCTACCATAATGCGAATGGCATTAGGAGAAAATTGATTTATGGGTACATTGTACATGTTGCTAATCGACAAAAGCTCTGGTTGAATAGGGAATCGCAAACCGAACATTATTTGGTCAATGAAAAAAGTGAAGCAGCCGTTAGGGGGATGAGTAAAGACATCATTGGGACCAGGGGAACCAACTCCCAGTCGGAAGGCAAGCCGCTGAACGACCTAAATCCCTCGATTTGGACTGCAGAGGCATAAAAAAAGGATTTAAAACGGCTACTTTAGCCAACGAAAATGTTACTAATACAAAAATTTCGAGGATCGTTAGGAAGAGCGATCAAGGTACAGGAACTGGACTAGTTCTATATACAGGGATGTCTAGAAGTTTGAAAGGAATACCTCAGGGAAAAGGGTCAAGACGAAGAGTTTCCCCTCGAGAAGGATTTTCTGGAAGATCACCCTCTAGAAGGGCTTGTTCGTATTCATCCCAATCGACGCGTGGAGCGGCGACGTGGGAAGACGAGGATGGCGGGGATACACCAACCACTCTGTACCCCACTACTTACACCGAGTCGGACGATTGGGGGCCCTCGTCGATCAAGCGCTCGACGGTACCAAGGGAGGAGCCAGAACCAGAATCTAAAAAGAAAGAAGAGGGGAAGGTCGAAGTTAGTAAAGCATGGAATAGACTAATAAAGAGGATATTAAGAGCACATCGAGAGACGAGGAGGAAGAAGAGTGTAAGGGAATCGAACCCAGGTCGAACAAATCTTAGGTCATGGTCGACCTACTAAAAGAAAGATCGACAAAGTCGATGACGATACACGAGGAGGAAAAGAGACTCTAAGTCGAGTCAATTCGCCAAAAAAAAAGAGAAAGAAAAAACAAAACAACAAATCTAAGGACTGTACCTAAACATGAAAGATCTGACGCCGGAAGTCACCCAGAATCATCTAAAATTTCTTAAGAACACAAAGAACATGCATAGATCCCAAACCAAAAACCCAGAAAAATATAAGGAAAGAAAAGTAAGTGTTAAAAATGGAATCAATACCTACACATGGTGACTGAGGTAGAAAGTTCTGTGGAGTCTGAGAAGTCGCCGGATGTTACGAGCGCTGGAAACACCAAGAAGCTAGATTGCAAGAAATTTGGGAATTCAAGGAAGGAGAATCGCGAAAAGTGAAGAAAGAGGAGAATGAGATATACTTATAGGGCGGTTAATGAAGCCCTAGCCCTACGATTAAAGAGGGAATCAACGGTCAAGATAAGGCACAGAATTCGAAAAGGCAAAAGTGGATGGAGGCGGCGAGTCACATCCCACTCACGAAAAATTTTAAATTCAAAGAAAGAGGACAAAGGGTCATGCTTCAGGAAAATTCTAAGTGAAAGCTTCGACTATAAACTAAGCCAAATGAAATAAATCGTCGACATGACGAGCCAAAAGTAGAGACGAGACGACTCATCAGTAGAAAGCAAAGGACCTGGCTACCAAATCGACATGACGGTTTGCGAATAAGGACGAGATGACTACCGAATTTACTCTTAAGCTTGAAGTCGCTTAGAGTAATTTTTTTTAGGAGGGGGGGGGGGAGGACTAGAGGATATAGCCCTATTATCATAGCCCGATTCAAATGATTATTACCTGGCTAAAGACTACGGATGACTTCATTAAGTCGACATCTACGATGTCGACTTGGCCCATCAGCCATTCAAAGACCACTGATCTGGCCACGTTCTCCAGTCGACTTTAGGAAGTCGACCGAGTGCAAGACGACTTCGCTAAAGAAGACGAGCAGGCACTTCAGGAGCCCAGATACATATGTAACCTCAGATCGACTCGAAAAGGTCCCAAATCGACTTAGAAAGCCTCCGACGACTTAATACACTTAGATGCAGCATATGGAAGATCCCCAAATGACTTCACACAGGATAAGAAGGAATCTAGACGCTGACTCATGAGTGGGTGGAATGTGAACCGACCAGGGCATTTTGGACACTTCGCGTAAGTCGGCCAGGGCATTTCAGGTACTTCAAGTAAGTGTTTTTACCCTATATAAAGGGGCTGAGGTAACTCCAAACCCTAACTTTCATTCTTTCCATTGATTATTCAGCTGCTGCTCCTACTGAGCAGAACTCATCTTCTTCTCTCTCACTGACTTGAGCGTCGGAGGCTCTTCACCTGAAAACACTTCCGGTGTTGAGTACTTGCAGGTGTTCGCAGCGGCTCACGGACGATTTGGAGACGGTTCAATCAGACCGGAGCTCATTTCCACCGGTTCACTCTAGATCTAGGAGGAGACCCATCAATACATATAAAATAAATAAAAATATTATATAATAATTAAAGCGGTTCGACCGGTTCGATCACTGGTCCGACCAGTGAATCATTGAACCAGTAGCTTAACCGGTTTTGTTTTCAATACCTTGGGAAAATGGCAAGAAGAGAACAAACAACAATAGAGATGTCGGTGGAAATTTTGAAAAGAAGTCGCATCGGAAAAAAAAAAAACCTCAATCACCCACACCTCTGCTAACGTTG